AGTCGAATCGCGTTAGCCGCGGGGCATCACCGGGTCTCGCCTCCATGCTAGGGCTGGCACCACTAATCACGGCACGTACGCGCCGCTAATTGGGGAGGGTGGTGTTAATCCCCTAACCAGTCGGCGTGGGTGCCCGTGACGTAGCGGTACTCCAGCAGCATGTCGCGGCGTCGGCATGCCGCCATCTTTGACTGCTCAGCTCGCTCGTCCAGCAGGCCGTATTGATCGCGCGTGGTTGCTAGGGGCAACGCCGTAAAATGCGGTAGCGACGCGGCGAGCCGCGTCGCGTGCGAGGGGGGAGGAGTGCCTTGTAACATGGTTGTTACAAAATAACCTGAGTAGTTTTCGTGAAATAGGAAAACAACCAATACCAGTAGATGATGGTGATGGTATCGCCAACACACTCCGTAGGAATGACGCAAAATGGCACACATCTTGCCATGTAAAATGTTCAGCCAGTCGTTTGGCTCGACTCATGCCAAGTACATCCGCTGCAAGTGATGATGGAAACCAACCTTATATGCGAAAACGGACGTCCACCAGAAGCCCTGGTCAAGAAAACAACAAATGCTTTCTTTGTGACAAGCCTGGAACAGAGACTAAACCTCTGCATGATGCGATGACTCCCAAAATTACTCGTCGTGTCAAGCAATGTGCAACTAAAACGCAAAATCTAAAGGTGATAGCAATGCTTAGTGCTGGTGACCTAGTGGCACTTGAGGCTAAGTACCATGCACCTTGTCTTGTCAAATTTTACAACACCAGCAACTGGAAGAACGAAGATGACTGAGAAAAGAACACTGATGGGGTCGCTCATGGCATAGCCCTGGTTGAACTCATCGGTTACATAGAAGAGGTGAAGTTGAGCGACGTATCCAGAGCACCAATTTTCAAAATGGCTGACCTCGTCCATCTGTACACTGATCGAATAGAGGATCTGGGTGTTGATGTAATTGGACGGATTCACTCCACATATTTGAAAAATCGAATACTTGACAACATACCAGGACTCTGCGCCTACAAGCAAGGCAGAGACATCATGCTCAGCTGTGACGATGATGTTGGACACGCGTTGCTTGATGCATGTTTGGATGACGATGATGACGAGGCCATTTGTCTGGCAAAAGCTGCCAACATCATCCGCCGTGAAATGCTGAAGACGAACGACCAGTTTGACAGGTCATTCCCCAGTGGCTGTCAAGAAGATTCTGTCCCCAGAAACCTAGTGGCTTTGATTAGCATGATAATGGATGGACCGAACATTGCCAAGAAAGAGACACACGAGGCTAGGCAATCAGCACTTAGTATTGCCCAGTTGTTGAAGTACAACAGTTATGCGAGACAGCGCCAAGGGTCCACTGCGACACACCACAATAAAAACAGAGAAACTCCCCTACCAATCTATATTGGCATGATGATTCACGGCCATACTCGGAAACGCGAACTCGTGGACACTTGTTTCATCTGGGATTCTTAATATAGCAAAGGACATGGCTTGTGCAGCAAGTCGACAATATGAAGTGGATGGAGTTGTCTGCCCCCTTGTCCTGAGGAAAAATCTATTCACTACAGGTGCAGTGGACAAATTGGATCACAATCCCAGTTCAACAACTGCTCGAGGTGCCTTTCACGGAACTGGCATATTACTGTTTCAAAATCGACAGATGGAGTCTGACGGTATCGAACGTGAAAAGTTCAAACTGGAGAAAATGCCTCTCGACAATCCAATCCCACAACTTCCTGACGCGTACAGGAATCTGACTCCTGTCGTGCTGAAAAAAGAGGAGCCCACTGTCCCAGTTCTAGATGAGTCAATTAGCGTTGATAAGTATATTGTTGAAACAGCACTTAAAGAGGAAAAGAAGTGGCAGACCAATACTCGGCAGATAATCAGCAAGGACATTCAGGTTATCGAAGATCCAATCTCCTCGGCTGCCTTCCATTCAGATGCACAACGGGCTCCCACCTTCGATGTCACTATATCATCTCTGCTGCCTTTATTCCCAGATGATTCGAAATCTGTGGCAATGATTAGGCATTCTATGGATGTCATCGAACACACGGTTGAATTTCTGAATCCTGGACAGGTACAAGTGTTAACTGTAGACCAGCCCTTGTTTGCCATTGCTAAATTGATCCAATGGCGATGGCCTGGCACGTATGGTGAGAGCAAGTTCGTCGTTCTACTCGGTGGTTTACACATTGAAATGGCTGCGTTGACAATTCTCGGAGATTTCCTTGATGGCAGTGGCTGGACGAATGCTATCACCCAAGCTGATGTTGCTGCAGCCGGAATGGCTGATTCATTTCTCAAGGCTGCACACGTCAAACGAACGAGACATGCACACCAGGTTACTTGCAGTGCACTGTCAATCCTGCTGCATGATTCATATGATGTATACCATGAAGAGGAGCAGGACCCCATACCGTTTGAAGACTGGTGCATGAAACGAGCTGAAGCATCACCACAGTTCTAGTACTGGTTTCTCATCATGCAGTTGGAGCAGCTCGTCCTCGTGTATGTCAGATCCCTACGGGAGGGAAACTTTTCACTATACCTAGCTTCCATAACTACATTGGCTCCATGGTTCTTCGCCCTCGACCACACCCATTATGCGTGATGGCTGTCAATCCACATACGAGACATGGCCACGTTGGCGAAACGACTTCCAGAGGTAGCAAGACAGTTTGATCAAGGCGGTTTCATCGTACACAAGACGAGGCCTCCATTCTCAGCCCTAGCAATTGACCACGCACACGAGAAAAATAACGAAGTCGTGAAAGGAGATGGTGGGGCAGTCAACTTGATGGAAAACCCAACAGCTCTGCTTGAGAGCACAACTGAGAAATGCCATAAGAGTAGATATCGTCTGGGATGTCTATCAGGAAGAGAGCTTCTACGAGAGAGAAGAGAGGCAAGGGCATCCGAAGGCGTGTAGCAGCATCTAATACAATTCCGGAAAATTGGCAGGAGGCTGGCCGACAACAAAACCGAATTGTTCCGATTCTTGGCGCACCAGGTAAAACACCAGCACATCAACAGACACACACATTGATATATTCTTTAGTTCTATATGTTAATTAATTCCAGTAACATTATTATGACCAGAACATTAATAAAAAGATAACTACACTACTGCTTATTTCATGTTATGCAGGTTCTAGAAAATCTGTCCACAGAAAAGGAAGTGTACACAACTTACGATCAGCATTTGCTTTGCACTCGTGTTCGCCAAGACGTCTCAGCTGTGGTACCATGTTCACACGAAGAGGCCGACACACGGATGCTTCTCCATGCAATTGATGCCACCAAAAAAGGCTTTCGTAGAATCATGTTACGAACAGTCGATACTGACGTGCTTGTGTTGGCTGTGTCTAACTGTGTGCTTCTTGATGAAACAGAGGTCTGGGTCGCATTTGATACTGGACAACACCTCAGATACATTCCTACTCACGCCATTGCAGCATCGCTTGGAGAAGAGAAGGCGCGGGCACTTCCTGTGTTTCACACCTTCACTGGCTGCGATACCGTGTCGTCGTTTGACGAGGTCGAGGGAAGAAAACTGCTTTTGACATCTGGAAGTCATTTGATGAAGTCACACCAGTCTTCGCTGCACTATCCACCACACCAGCGAGCTTCAACGAAGATTGCATGAAGGTGATCGAGTCGTACGTCAATCTACTGTATGATAGAACCTCAACAGAAACCAGTGTTGACCTTGCAAGGAAACATATCTTTGCTGGCAAAGGCAGGTCCATCGATGCCATATCACCAACTCGTGCAGCCCTGTTGCAACACACAAAACGGGCCATACATCAGGGCGGATATGTGTGCGGACAGGCGCATATCAGTTCCCCATATATTCCCTCACCAGAGTCTTGGGGGTGGAGAAAGACCCCATCACGAGGATGGGAACCACTATGGACACTACTACCAGAAGCAGCAGATCCTGTTCGGAGCTTGTCCGATGTAGTTGCCAGAAAAGGTGCAGGGGACACTGCAAGTGCGTCAAGGCCGATTTGCAATGCACGTCACTTTGCCGCTGCAGCGGTAACTGTGAACACAATGACGTATAATGATCCTACCAGATGTGATCCCAAACAAGTTAGCCAATTCTTGTTTACTATGAACATGCACAATAATGTATATATTATATTACCGACAGGATCAATCAGTTATTTTGTTGTGCCATATAAAACATCTGGTCTATGATGGTATATTACCTTGTTGGTGTGTTGATGTTGGATTTAATCATACAATTGACCATTTCATTAGTTTTGGTGCATTTTACCAATTCAATTGGATTCAGCGTGTATGTTGGATTATTGTTGCTTAGCAATATCCTACATAATTTTTGATACTTCAATTGTGTTCCTCACATGTGAAAACCTATGTGTAGACACCAAAATCATCGCCCCAGCTTGATTCTATCAAAAGTTATTGCCAATTTCCAATCTGGCCAATTAGGCACGGCGGCCATCTTGGATTTACGCAAATAGGTGCATTTTATCAACTCGTTTGTGGTTGGAATGGATTCAGCATGTATGAAAACATAGAAAATGACACTTTATTCATGTTTGCACGACATTTTGTCACAAAGATATGTCATTTTTAAGATCTTCCGGTATCGGATGGCGGCCATCTTGGATTTTGCTATTTGTGGGCCAAAGAGAAAAAATTGAGCTTGGCATAATATCTAAATTTGTTAATTATATATTAAGCAATGTCTGTACCAAATTTGGTGCTTTTACCACAAAATGCACAATCCTTAATTTTGATATTATACACATATCTTCTGCACTATATTGAAAATACATACTTCAAAGTGTAGGATGTGAATTGCACGGCCAAACCTTTACCAATCTTATCCAGTAATGTTGTTCTATAAATCCCCTCTACGTTAAATACGTTTTAGAGTATTAGCCATTTTTATTGCATGTTGCAAGCCAGGAACATCATGCATTTTAACTATTAACATTATAAAAACAAAACAAAAATGTCCTAATAATAATCACGTTTATTCAATAATTATTTCTAAAATTGATATGATATTCTAGATAAGAAATTAAGAAATATATTATATACCTGTGCATACATCATTGCACTAATAGTTTTTCAACAAATGACTATTCAGTTGAAAGACATACACGTGCACGCACGCACGCACACACACAAACACACACAGTATGAATGCTTAGTGTAGAACCCCTAGCATATACCCCCCATGTGTGAGATTTTGCGCAAAATGTATATAAATGTTAACAGAAATGATGGGTAGGATGTTTTTTACTGCCTTTGTATTTCATGGTATTCAGCGTATTTCATGGTATTCAGTGTATTTCATGGTATTTAGTGTATTTGTCAAAGGTATCATTGAATTCCGATTGTGCAGAAAGAGCAATTACAATTGAATCAATAATAGCACACGTGATTATATATGGTACAACTGCAGTAAACAACTTGAAACTGTGTTCATGTAACGATCCCAGGTTCCGTAAATTTGTAGATTTGACCTAAAATAGAAAAAGACATTTGACTGCTACAGAGTGTATCTTTAATTTTCTCCTTGAACGGTTTGAAAAGAAAAATAATTGTATACAATAACAATTAGTATCTTATCATACTATTCATACAAGATAACATACCTTGCTTTATATACTACCGGTAACCTTTTTACCTTTCTTATACTTACTCCTTAACATACCTTTTGAACGTTATCAAAATACAACTCCTAATTTCGAATTTTAAGAAAAAAATATATGATCACATCTTCATACCTCCTTGTTGACTGTAGTCTTCTATTTGTGAAATCTCATTAAGTCATTTCAATATTTAAATTAAGGGCTCTGAACCCACATATAGACACAGTCAGATTTTCTTAAAACTACTGCAACCACAAGCCATTCCATTTCCACAAAACATGAAATTGTCGATGACACAAGTAAATCAACACTGTGGTGATCTCAGACTGATTACCAACATATTCTAATTAGATTTAGATGCACTGGAGCATTCCCTGTATGACCTGTTCACAGGCCTACAGTGTTAAGCTATAATCGGTAAACACATCTTACCTTTTTATCAACTCCATAGATTTGACGGCTTGCTGGTATTCTTCAAGGAAGCACCGGACATCGTCGTAACAAAGACGAGCTCCACGACATGTTTCTATGAACTAAGACACACACAACAACGAATATAATTACCATAAAGATGGTTGTTAATTAATTTTTCAATCTGTCTGCAAGAGATAGCAACATGCAATTTCGGATATTGCTGCTAAGTCAGTCAAGCTCACCCAGATTATATATGTATTTCATGCATGTACGCCAAGTTGTCAACTCTGTGGCATTTTGTTGCTAAGCATTGCCTTTTAGAATATCCTACCACTAAAATGACCGCGTAGAGTTATCTGCCAATTACGCAAAGTCACTGCTGTGATCAACAATAACTTTGGGAAATCTTTCCAAAAAGTGTAACATAGGTGCATCTGTCCATTTTAATTCATGAAATGGACAAATACACAGGGTAAACATGGACCTCACCGTCTCTACAAGATCTACAAAGAGGTCCCTCAGTTCTTTGCTGTGTATAAGATTGCAGGCAATATTCACAAGTGACCGAGAAAGAGTCTAGAAAAACACAAAAGTTGAGTGATTACACCCCTACAGCACTGTAATGTCTCATGCCATGAGTGTGAGACCTAGCATATTGAAATGTCATCAGATAGTCTTACAGCAATGCATGGATTTCTCACCTGTTTCAGAAATAAAAGCAGGAAAAATAATTATCTCCAAAATTATATTCGTAGGATAACGAATTCACGGCTGACTTATATGGATTTGAAATTACAAAATGCAACAGATTGCAGGAATTTTAAGTCTGGATTTTTACGTTTATTGGATAGTATGCCCTTCACACCCACTTATCAAACATCAAGCTTCTCTCAGCAGCCCATACAAATTGGCGTCCTACCTGTGCCAAGTTTACCCCACTATACATACATGGCTATACCAGCGTGTCTAGCAGAGCGCTTGACACAATAGATCAGCGCATGGGGATTTGACTTTTAGTTGCCCAAGCACAACGTACAGAGGGCAAGCTCATCATAGGGGGGTAAGGAAGTCACACTACAGAGGCAGCAAATGTCACTCATTTGAACAACTGTAACAGTAACTGTAACTCCACTTCTCATTCTGCATCGTACTCCCTAATCCTTTTAACTTATTCACACTCTAGCCCAGTGGTTCTTAACCTTTTTTGAGTCATGGACCCCTTTGAGCATCTCGTGAAAGCTACGGACTCCTCCACAGAAAAATGCACATAAGCACATAAACACACACTTTTCATGCCTGGTTCACGGACCCCCGAAGCCCATCCATGGACCCATTTTGGGTCCGAAGACCAGAGGATAAGAACCCCTGTGCTAGCCCTTTAGATTCTAGGACAAGTACCGTGCAGAATTCTGTGCTCAGTAACCAACTGCCATTAAAACCTAACGTGTTCCTTGCTTACTTGTAACATTCACCTTATCACAAACGTAGCAATCGCAAGCAGACATACAATGCGAGGCACCGAAGTAAGAGAAAGTTTGGCTTATAGCAAGTTAAGGATTCCCAATAGCATAAAAGCAGAAAATAGTCGGTGACGTTGATTATACCATACCTTAAAGTTTGCTTGCAGATCATTACATACTTTTTCACTTAGCCTTGCTTTGAGATTTCTACACGTTATGCTGGAATAAAAGGGTTGAATAATTAATATTAATTAATCGTGTCTTCACAATGACCCAGTTTGAATTATACATAATCAGTAATAATCTGATAGCTATTTTTCTTCTCACATATGCGTATATGCAGGTAATAGTGATAAATGGGTGTCCAAATCCAAGCATAGACTATACTTGTGATTTCCTGCACTTATCAACCCTAGTTAGTGTTGTAATTGCCATACAAAGCCAACTAGGTGTCTTTTGCACATATGCGCATTTCACACCGTTTTTCTAATATAATGGCAGTAATATTTAGAAAACACAAACATGTTGATGGAATATCTTTAAATACATACTCTTTTATACTGAAAATGGTCTCATGAAATTAAGCCGTTAATGTGAATAACTGACTAGGAACAGGTCTATAATCCTGCTGGTCGTTGGTCCACACCAGCGACGCGTAGGAACAACGACCCGTAGGACCAATGACCCTGACCCGTCAGACTATAGAATCTGAACCTGACTGATGAGCAATGAACATCCAAATTATTTCCAATTTAGTAGCAAAATTAAAATCAAATTATGCATATGATGAACAGTAACAAACAGGTGAGTTTGGTGTGGAAGGAAAGAGAAGGTTGGAAGTTTTAAATGGCCAGAAATCCTTCACAGTGCAACACAGTATATCTACATTGCACTTTGCTTAGCATCGTTCCATAGTGCTACTACAATTGGCATTATGAGGCTCGACTAAAGTTCACTGCCTCATTCACTGACACTATGGCATACCCTTTATGCTCATCAATAAGGTCTCTGTCAAGCAGTATCTTTAAGTCTTTCAGGTCCTGAAGAAAATCCCGATCAAAGTCAACATCCAACATGTCTTCACGCTGGCAATCTGGAATGCAATCAGACATTTTAGGCTATAAATACAATAATTACAAATAATACTTTGTTGGTCTGAGCACATGTAGCAGCATAATTATATGGGACAGACTTGCATATAAGGATAATGCAACATACCACTGTGTGGATGAACCAACATAAGGTAAATTGAATTGCGGCAACGGGAAATCACTATAACTAAGGCCTAAAAATCAGTGAGTTCCTGTTGAAGACATGCGAATGAGTTGCAATACACGTACCACTATTACTTCAATCATATGCTTATGAGAAACTCACCTGCCGAAGCACAGGACCAGTTTGTAATCATTAGATTTGCACAATGTGCAAAGTCATCAAATTCCAGATAGGCAAGCTTCTTTTTGCCAGTTTCGAATCTGTTGCTTGTAATAAAAACCACAGCAGCATACTTTCTAAAAAATGCAAACACATACAGTATGATTAGCAGTTGTGTTATCATACACATTTCCTGAACACAACCACAGATAAAAAAAGTGTATACAGTGTGTTAGCCAGAGACCCGTCTACCCGTCTTTTGGACGGCCTATTCTTAGATGAGACGGATGAAATTTGATAGAGACGGCATGAGGGCAGCCCAATTTGATATATTATACACCTTGTATAACTGACAACAGTGCTTATAAGAATATAAAATCATATCGGATTCTTGTCTTTTTGGCATTGTCAACCAGTATGACTTTTAATGAAACAATCTGACGATAAATTAAGTTAAGCTTAATTAAGCACGATTGTCAAAATTAAACCCAAAAATGTCTCACCTTAGATTCATTATGTATACATATTATTACCTACTGTAAGTAGTGACCAGCATGCAGCAGTCATCTGGCAAAACAACAGAATAACAAACTTAAACTCGCCTGGCAAGCTCTATTGGGAGTAGAAAACTCTGCTGAACATTTTGTTCTAACGATCCCCTCATTTCCTCAACGGCTTTAAATACATGTTTCATATTTTCAAACTGAAACAGCAAAACACACACATAAGATTATCGCAATAGACTTTTGTTATGCTGACAGATTACAACTAGACTCTTGTGCATAGCTTGAATACATACATTACTGTAATGTATTAGGTTTTCAATAGAGTAATAGTTACCGCTGTACGGTGGCGTCGCCACCCGGTTCTAACAGAGAAATAAAAGATGGATGATTAGACAACAAGCTATTGAATATTAGTCCTTTACTAAGGCCGTGAGCCGGGCATAGAGCCGAGGTGCGAGGACATAACAGTGGCGACGAGGTAGTTAAAGTCTTGGAGAGTAGTTTGATGCATAATGGCAGCCATAAGTTCGGAAATTAGAGCCTTAAGGCCGTTCGATATGACAGGCCATGCTTCCAAGTTGGGACCACGCTGGGCCAAATGGAAGAAATCGTTCCAGTACTTTCTCGACGCAAAAGCGGTGGTAAATGCACCACAAAAACGGGCATTGTTGCTGCACACGGCAGGGCCAGAAGTACAAGAACTGTTTGACACTTTGCCAGACCCTGGTCCAGGCCCAACCAGGGTAGATGCGGACGGGAGGAAAATTCCGGAGGCACCATGTGTGTATAAACATGCTGTACGCACATTGGATGGATACTTTATCACTAAGGTGAATGAGCCCTATGAAAGACATGTTTTCCGTGGATTGTCTCAGGATTCTCGGGAGACTGTGGATAAATTTGTGTCACATCTTCATGCCCAGGCAAAGTTCTGTAACTTCCCGAATATTGACGAGGAAATTCGGGATCAGTTGATTGAAAAGTGTTCTTCGGCTAAACTGAGGCGAAAATGTCTTGAGCAAGACAGACTGACATTAGCCAGAGCTTTTGAGTTGGCGCGTGCATATGAAGCTGTAGACTATCAGATGAAGTCAATGGGTAGTAGTGAAGCCACGAGTAGTAAAAATGGAACCATTCAGTTTCAGTCAGCCATGAAAAGTTCAGCGCACAAGGGTGGCTATGGTAAGCCATCCAAGTTCAAAAAGGGAAATCGTCGACCTAGTGCAGACGGGGCTAGGCACTCTAGTGGAGGTAGTCGACCAAATCGGAATGTTATCGTTGCGGAAAACAGGGTCATTTTGGTCGAGACCCAACTTGTCCTGCCAAATCGGTGGAATGTCGAAAATGTGGGCGCATCGGGCACTTCGAAAAAGTGTGCCATTCAAAATCGTCGATCAAATACGTGGAGGAAACGGAGGAATCGGTACTCGGAATGTATTCGATGGAATCAGGAATATCGAAAAGCTTCGAAGTTGTTCTTAAATGCCGTGGCAAGAATTTGCCCATGAAAGTTGATACCGGAGCCAGTGTTTCGATTTTGCCCAAAACCGTGTACGACCGTGACATTGCGCATATTCCGCTAAGTTCGTCAAAGCTGCAACTCAAGTATACGGAGGTGGTAAACTGTCCGTTTGTGGTGAGATGTCAGCAGAAGTGGTGCATAATGATCAGAAAGTTGTGTTGCCATTAGTTGTAGTGGAGCAGTCCGGACCTGCTTTGCTTGGTAGGAATTGGCTCGGTAGCTTGAAGTTGAATTGGGCCAATATCTTTAGTGTAGAGCTGCAACCCAAACCGCGTACCATGGAGGATGTACTCGATAAGTACAAGAGTGTATTCGAGAAGAAGCTAGGTACTGTAAAAGGGTTTAAAGCAAGCATTAGGTTGAAAGAGGGGGCACAGTATATCTTTCACAAGGCTCGACCTGTGCCGTATGCGTTGAAGCCGGAAATTGACAAGGAACTGGACAGGTTGGAGTCGGAGGGAGTGATCAAGAAGGTTGAGAGGAGTGATTGGGCATCGCCGATAGTATGTGTGCCTAAGAAAGATGGCTCGATAAGAATCTGTGGTGATTTTAAGGTGTCCGTAAACACTGTGTTGCTTGATAACCTGTACCCGTTGCCAGATATCGAGAATATGTTTGCGACTATGGGAGATGGCACCATGTTCAGTAAGATCGACCTTTCCAATGCCTATCAGCAGATGGAGCTAGATGAGGACAGTTGCCAGTATTTGACCATAAACACTCATAGGGGGCTGTACCAGTATATACCCGTTTAACATATGGAATCGCCTCTGCACCGAGTATGTTTCAATCCATGATGGATCAGGTGTTACAGGGACTGGACACTGTTCAGTGTAGGATTGATGATATTGCGATTCGTACCACTCCACAGGAACATTTGTCTGTAGTCGAAGAAGTGTTGGCACGACTATATAAACACGGGATTCAGGCAAAATGGGTGAAATGTGTCTTCGAGAAGCCAAGTATGAAGTACGTAGGGTACGAGGTGGATAAAGACGGCAGACATCCGATGAAGGATAAAGTCACTGCGATTGAAAACGCTCCGCAACCGCGAAATGTTCGAGAGTTGAAATCTTATTTAGGCCTCTTGAATTTCTACGCGAACTTCATCCCGAACCTCAGCACCCTGTTACATCCATTACATGAGCTGTTGAAGCAGGAAGTAGAGTGGAACTGGACTGAAAGTTGTGCTGAAGCTTTCAAGAGGAGCAAAACTGCACTTTTAGAAAGTAACGCGTTAGTGCCGTATGATACGAAGCAGAAGCTCATACTTGCGACCGATGCTTCACCCTATGGGGTAGGAGCTGTGATTTCTCACGAGATTGATGGAGAGGAGCGACCAGTGGCATTTGCCTCCAGAACTCTCACACCTAGTGAACAGAACTATTCTCAGACGAAGGCAGGGGCTTCGCGACTGCGGCATTCGCCGTGTGTGCCTGCGGCGCACACCATAACCGCCACTTATGCTATTATTACTAGTAGGTCTCAGGGGAGAGATAGTGAATATAGAAATAAGTTGTGGATATAGAAATCAGTTAACCCTAACCCTAACCCTAATCCTAACCCTAACTCTTACCCTATCCCTAATTCTAAAATAAAACAAAATTAGCCCAAAATAATAAAAAATAAAATAAATAAGAGACAACATTAGCCAATCAGAGCCGTCCCCTAGCGGATCACTATCTCTCCCCTGTGCAAAATTATATTATTACTGGGTGATCCTACATTTTTCTGCAGTAGCACATTTTGGGAGGCCACTACAGCCCTGGCTATTGTAAAGCTCTGTAGTTGTGGCACGAAAAGGCGTAAGACATTATGTAAACGCATTAGGTTTATTACAACATGGCGGGTAAACTCCCCGCGCTGACTCTCTACACCCAGTACACAGACGTGACCATACGCGTAAGAAAGTAGTGAAACATATGATATATGACAACCCCCTTCTCTGAGAGAAGATGTACACACTGAATAACCGTTCCAGTAAAATAATACACAACTAAATTGTACTGCCCTAGTGCCGCTTGCACCAGATGTCTGACAGCACACTATCCAAGATAATAAATGGCCACTCCTCTTACCAACAAATACATGTATGAATTGTTTGTGTTTACAGTCCGTAGTGAACAAATGGAATTGAGGATCAAAACAAAGTTACACAAAATTGTCTACATGGCTTGCTTGAATAACATGAACACACACTTGCTTCAATGTTCACAAACTCAATTTCTGTGGTGGTTTTACAGTTCGACCTGATTTAGTTCTGTATGCATCGATCCCGCTTTCTCTGGACGAACTGCCATATGACTTCATCGCGGGCTCTGGTTCCGGTCGGAAACGAACATGTTTTTGGGGGGTGAGGTCAGCTGCGTGTTTGGTTGTCAATTGGACCTCAGTGTCCAATGGCTCAGGGTTAACACGAGATGTCAGATTGAAGTTCTCACCGGTCTCGCGAATAGAACGTCGGTTCCTCCTGAGGGCAGTTCCAGAGTTCATCTGAACTTGGTATGAACGAAGTGCATCCAGCGTGGTGGAAACAATTGCTGGTTGCCATTTGCTGGTTACTTCATCGCGTACCCTTACCGGCTGGCCAGGAACCAGGGGAGATAACTCTTTGCCTGAACTCTGGTCGTGGTACGCTTTCTGAGTAACCTGACGTAGGTACAGTCTATCTACTATGTCTCGCCATATTCTTGTTCCACCCTATCACCCAGCCTCTAACGGAGCTGCAGAGAGGTCAGTGCAAATTGTCAAGATGGCACTACTGAAGGAAATCGAGAAAGTGAAGCAAGGGGGTGAAAATCTGCCTATGGGACATTGACTGGCAAATTTCTTGATCCGCTACAGGAATACACCGCATTCCGTTACTGGGCAGACACCGTCACAACTGTTCCTTGGCCGCAGAGCACGTACAAGATTCAGCGTGCTAGTGCCAAATCTTGAAGAGCATGTATAGTTGACAAACAGTGGCAGCAGAAATATCAGCATAATCGAAGAGTGAAATTCCGTGAATTTGAACCGAACGATGCTGTCAGTGTGAAAAATCATAGTGACTCTAAGTGGTCTCTGGGAACAGTGGTGAAATGCATGGGACCAACATCCTATTTGGTTCGGGTTGGGCGAAGTTTGAGGCATGTCCATGTGGATCACCTACTCAAGTTTGAGGGCAAGAAGGGGTTAACAGAGCCAGAGAATGCTGTGTTGGAAAAGCTTGGGGAGTTTTACCCTCCAGTTAGTCCTAGACTGGCCACAGTTCCAAAAGACAGTGTTGATTCTCCAATAGTGGACACTCAGCAGCCCACCGAGACTGCTATTCCTAGTGAGAACAATGACCTTGATCTGGGAACACACGCTAGTTCTAAATCTAATGCTAGCCCTGTGGTTCCAGAGACTCCTGTGGTTCCACTCAGGGTGTCTACCCGTATCCGCAAACCGGTAGACAGACTCAATTTATGAACGGACTATAGGCCTACAGTGCCTACTGTGTTCAGTGTTGTGAAATTGACGGTATGGCTATTTGCCAAGTTCACGAGTTAAAGTTAGTTACCAATTCTAGTTACTCCCCTATATTTTGGAGTGTTACGACAAGTCAGTTTTAAAAAGGAGAGAAGGAAGAAAAATGTTATGGTATTCTGTTAAAGCGGTATTTCAGAAAATAGACATTTTCATAATGGACATTTGCCAAATGTGCAGAGTAATTATTTTGGATAGTCTAAATAAGACAGAGATCTACAAGGTTAGAGTTGTTTGAGTTTGAGTCTAAAAAGGGGAGGACTGTAATGTATTAGGTTTTCAATAGGGTAATAGTTACCGCTGTACGGTGGCACCGCCATCCGGTTCACAGAGAAATAAAAGATGGATGATTAGACGACAAGCTATTGAATATTAGTTCTTTACTAAGGCCGTGAGCCGGGCATAGAGCCGAGGTGCGAGGACATAACAATTACTATAATATCATACTATATATACAACCTGATCTACTCGACTTACTGACTATGTAAATAATAATACACAATCCCGTTAAATAGCACAATATAAATGTTGCTTTTATAGAATTATGTAAGTTTAAAAATTCATGATTTACTGTAGCGGCATCAAGGTACAATGCGTTCATCTAAACACATTTAAAAGATGTTAGCACAGGTCAACAAATAAACTGCTTCAACTATGTCCCAAAAGCTTAAAATGGTTATGCCAAGTATATATAAGCACAGGAGGCACATAAGGGTGGTACTGACCTGTCGTCTACAACTCTTCAGGTTAACACGACTTCTCTCACTAACGTCATCTAACTCCTTACGAGTCTTGGAGGACAACTTCTTTCCTAGAATTTCTCGTATCACACAATCGTCAAATTTATAGTAGCTGAAATTAATAATAAATAAGATTATTAAAAAGACGAATTGCATCCGATTTGATCGAATACTTGATATGATATTGTTATTTGATCCGAATTGATCGGATACTAGTACAGCGCATATGTGAGTGACGATGGACAAATTGGTAATAATGTTATCACAGAATTGTTACATCATAAATATAATTTATGCTTACAGCTAATGTTTACTGAGTTTCCCATTTAAATGACTGTGTATCTACATGCTACGCTACAATATTGGAGATCCAGAGGCAACAAATGGAATAAAGCCTATTATAACCTACACACTTTTCTATTATCATCCGTTGCATTTCTGGGAGGATCTGGAATTTTAGCTGCTTTTCGAACCGTGGAGGCTGCTGCAGCAATGGCTCCAGCATGTCAAACAGTTTGAAATGATTGTGGATATCACTCTTGAGTACTTCAAGAGGAATACCAGTCTCTTCCATAACTCCTCGTTTCTTCATTATATGTACGGTTTCTACGGCTGCAATGAAAAAAATTCAAGGTTACACACAGCTAATTAGTGGTGAAGTGAGGGGAGTGGTAGGTATTACTCAGAATGATATATGGGTAAAAAAATTAAAGACAGAAAATCCAAAAGACAAAGAGGAGACAGTAAGTACCAAATTGGGAACGACAGTTCTGATTTAACTGATATTTTAAGATGTGGTGTACAGAAATCTCATGTCATGATGTTAACATTTTAACATGTAAATTACACATGCATACACCTGCACGGTGAATGAGATCAACAGGTGCAAGGAAATGGTGTGAATGTTGTGTTTGAAGACGTACCGCACAACTGCTAGACCTTCATCAAACCAACAAATTTTCACAAGCAAAGAAGTCAAATCATTGTAACATATATAATTAATTGTACTATTAACTGTATTGTAGTAGGCGGATGACCTACTGCTGCTTGTCAGTAGACTCCTAAATCACATGACTAATCGCAAGGATACTATAACAGCCTGCACTTGTGAAGGGGGTTGCAGGTTTCCTTGGTTGGCAACGGTGACAACAATATATGGACGTCATTGTCGTATATATTGAGCAGTACTTGCATGCAGGGAATGTAACAAACAATCATGTATTTGATTTTTAGAGTACAGTCCGACCTCCTTTATCCGGCCACGTCGGGACCGGCACCCATCCGGATATGGGATTTGGCCGGATATGAGAGTTATGCTCAAACACAGCATTTCTATGCAGTTCAGTACATGGGCGCAACCACTGGGGAGGTCGGGGGGTCACGACCCCCCCCAACTTTTATGTGGACTTCTCCAACTTCTGGAAGACCTTATTTTCTGGGAGGTCCAAAATAGTCCGATAAGCGTTTATTATCGTGAAACACCCATATACAGGTGAAAGTTAAAATAAATAAAAACCCCAGGTGGTCAAGTGCAGTGTCATAACTGTGATTCAGATTCAGATATCTAAATAGAACCCTTGTTAATATCATTTAGATTCGACCTACATAGTATATTCAATCTCACGTGCATGGAACGAGCACGATATTCACCACGCGTTCGCAAGCCAACTGTGTTATAGACACACACACAAAATATAGGCCCATCTCCACACAAGCGGCGGCGCCGTACACCCTTACCTTCTAATCTATGATATCTTCTGGCGCAGTCTCCACTGACACTGCACGGCGCAGGCCTGGTTCACGGCGACGGCGAAAGTCAAATAAGTTTGACTTTTGCCGGCTGACGTGACGGCGAAAAGACAATTGAACCAATCAACGCGATTGTTTTTTATCACGTGTTCTGGAATCGATATTGAAGCAATTCCAAAGGATTTTGTTGCAAAGTGTGACTCAAGGAAGGTCACATTTGGTTTCTAACACTGTTTTCTGTTTTCACGTGTCAGGCATTTTTTTGCATTATTATTTTCATCATTATTATTTTTCTCTTCATCTTAATCATGCTAACTGTGTCACACAGTTAGCACAGTCTGTGTGTAGCTTTACTACTAGCTTAATCTAATTAATAAAACATTTTGGTATTTTATGTATACATGATCCTAGTAATGTCATTCATGACATCACAATTATGCAACACTTCCATCAACACGCTGAAATACGTGATATTGAACCAATACGTGATATTCGCTCGCCCGCAGATCACGTTGCTATTGGCTGCTTGTGACCCCGCCAACTTTCAACATGTGGTTGCGCTCTTGGTTCAGTAGGGTTTATGCATGTGATCATGTATTTACTCGTTGCTACGATTGATTATTTGTAACAAACTTTCGTGTTTTATGGTTTATATGAAATGGAAATAAAATAAAATAAAACAAATTTTACCACTTCGGTTTATGTTTGTTTCTTTTGTGCTGAAATCTAGGGCTGTAACAATCGATACACTCGCGGCATTGTATGCCTAGGGCTGTTACATGTGCGCGGCAGCGGCGCCTTTGATTGAAGTACGGGGCTCCATCGATGGATCGCGAGTGCGTAGCGAGGTAGCTCATTTCATTAACGTCCGCTAGTAAAAGTTGTTCGTTAACAGACGAAAGTTGTCCAGAGGCATAGCGGACAACACACACGCGCACGCACACACGCACACACACATTTTTGTTCATTCATATAGTATACAATGTATATATCTTTTATTCCTTGGTAGGTTTTACAGCATCAACAAGTGAGTACGTATTCGTGAAATATTCGTATTAATGTGGCCGTATATTTATACATGTACATGTACATGGGCGTTTGCTCTTATGATAAGTGTGTTTGTTTTGTGTATGTGAAAGCTGTGCGCTCTTACGATAATCAATGTGTACATCGCGCGAGTTTTGAGCGAGATTTTTAGATGGAAATGAATGAACAAGTGCCGCGGAGCGACAGCGCTCATCTAACGTCTACTGCGGTGACTCTGTGGTGGAGTGGTGAGATTCTAGTAAACCCTGTTAGTCCCAAATGTGTTCATTATATATATAGATATAGATATAGATATAGATATAGATGCGCTATTACATATGTGGGCAGGTCGTGCAGCGACTGTGAGGAAGACGAATACGAATATAGTTAAACTGAGACTCCCCGACTTATGAACAGAGGCGTGTTCAGGAGAGCGAATGCTGCAAGCTCCAGAGGCTGTTCGCGCAGCACACGAGTTGTTTTCAAGATGGCGACGGGCAATCTGGCGAATGCGAATCTAACATTTCTGACTTCAATTTGCAATCTATCTCAACTTCATTTCTTTTTTTTTCATTCATTCATTTACTTCTAAATTCAATTCGTATCAATTTCGTCTGCTAATTCGTTTAACAGTACTTGTTCGAAGACATTAAAATCTCGCGATTAAAATCTGCTGAGTAACCCTCCATGGGGGCCGCCATCTTGGATAAAGCGAGCGCACAGCGAGCGCTCGTATGTCATTCAAGAGGCGCTGCGTTCGTGCAGCGAGCGTTCGCATCGAGCGTTCGCTCTGTTGAACACGCCTCTGGTTCAGTTCCGAGCGGTCGTTCGTAAGTCGATTTGTTTGTAAGTTGAACATATGTACGTACGTATACAGTATTGTACAGTAGTACTGTATTTGTGGAGCACGTACACACACAGGCACTTGAAGCGTTTCAATAAAATATAATGCTAAATAAATATGAAATCTATTTACTACTGTAATGTATTAGGTTTTCAATAGAGTAATAGTTACCGCTGTATGGTGGCGCCGCCACCCGGTTCTAACAGAGAAATAAAAGATGGATGATTATACGACAAGCTATTGAATATTAGTCCTTTACTAAGGCCGGGAGCCGGGCATAGAGCCGAGGTGCGAGGACATAACAGTGGCGACGAGGTAGTTAAAGTCTTGGAGAGTTGTTTGATGCATAATGGCAGCCATAAGTTTGGAAATTGGAGCCGTAAGGACGTTCGATATGACAGGCCATGCTTCCAAGTTGGGACCACGCTGGACCACATGGAAGAAATCATTCCAGTACTTTCTCGACGCAAAAGCGGTGGTAAATGCGCCACAAAAACGGGCATTGTTGCTGCACACGGCGGGGCCAGAAGTACAAGAACTGTTTGACACTTTGCCAGACCCTGGTCCAGGCCCAACCAGAGTAGATGCGGACGGGAGGGAAATCCCGGAGGCACCATGTGTGTATACACATGCGGTACGTACATTGGATGGATACTTTATCACTAAGGTGAATGAGCCCTATGAAAGACATGTTTTTCGTGGATTGTCTCAGGATTCTGGGGGTAGATTCATCAAGCTGCGTACGCAAAATATTTTGCGTAAATCTTGTGTACGCAATCGACGTTGTCTGTATCTGCCTCTCAATGAATCCGTTCGATTGAGGAAAATGGGGGCTTGACGTGATGTGTCGGAAGTCCCAGTCCTCTGTGAATCGCTTGAATGCATAACTCGCGTACTGGGGCCCGTTGTCGCTAATCATGGTCTCCGGAATGCCTTGTTCAGCAAACACTTGCTTAGTTATGCTCACAACACTTTCTCCGGTCGCTCTTCCGTGGATTTTCCTGATTATTGGGAATTTCGAGTAATAATCACAGTAAATGATGTACTCGCATCCATCGAGGTAGAAGAGGTCACTACCAATCATTTGCCACGGACGTGTAGGTACAGTGTGCTGAAGAAGAGGCTCCGGACTCTGTTTCTTCTGTAACTGTTGGCAGATGTGACATGATTTGATCATGTTCTCGATGTCCGGGTTGCAGGTTTTCCAGAATACACAGGTACGAGCTCTCATCTTTGTTTTTTCGATGCCCTGGTGGGACTCGTGGAGTTTCTCCAGGATATAACACTGCATGCTGGCAGGGATGACAACACGCTCGCCTTTCACGATGATGCCATCTTGGATCGAGAGCTCGTCTCGATAAGACCAGTATTGCCTCAGCGTAGTAGGAAGCTCGTTTTGTCTCTCTGGCCAACCTGACAGAATCACACTCTCGAGTGCCTGTAGCTCGCTGTCAGACTGTGTCGCCTTCCGCAGTTCATGTTGTCTCTGTTCACTGAACTGCACTAGATGGAACTTGACGTCAAGGTCTATAGTAGTACTATCTGACACTGGCGATCTAGACAGAGCATCGGCCACCGCTACTTCCTTTCCAGGTTTGTAGACTAACTGGAGGTCATACTGCTGTATTCGTAGCAGCATGCGTTGCAAACGTTGTGGAGCAGATGATATGTTTTTCAGATGTATCATCTCTAGGGGCTTGTGATCAGACTGGACGACAAACCGTTTTCCGTACAGGTAGGTGTGGAACTTTTCACACCCAAAGACTACTGCCAACAGCTCGCGCTCTATGTTGGCGTAGCGTTGCTCGCATTCGCTCAGAGACTTGGATGCGAAAGCAATTGGTTTGTCGCGTTGAATGAGAACAGCGCCCAGTCCCTTGCTGGAAGCATCGACTTGAAGTACTGATGGCTCCCTGGGATCGAAGTAACTCAAGGAGACTTCTCGCGTAATGAGTGAGATTATTCTATCGTACGCCACCTGGTGAGAGGGCGTCCACTCAAACACTGCGTCCTTCTTGATGAGTTCCCGTAGGGGTGCAGTTAGCTGAGACACATGGGGTAGAAATGGAGACAGGTAAGTAACCATACCCAGGAACTCTAGCAACTGCTTGGCTGACCTTGCTGTGTCCATTGCCTGAATGGCTTCGACTTTGTCGGCGTCAGGGTGGACTCCGTCTGCATCGTACAGCATCCCAAAGAATTTGATCGAAGGTCTGTTAATCTCACATTTTCCGTAATTGAAGATCAGGCCTTCTTCTCTGGCGACTGACATAACCTGTATGAGGTTCTTGTCGTGTTCAGCTTGGTCTCTACCGACTACTGCGACATCGTCGGCAATACCAACGACTCCAGTGCAGCGTTCAAGGATGTTGTCCATCCTCTCCTGGAAGACATCTTGACTCAAGTTGAGCCCAAATGGAAGTCGCCGGAAGCAATAGCGTCCGAAGGGGCTGTTGAAAGTGGTGAGACGGCTGGACTCCTCATCTAGCTGAACTGACCAATACCCATGACGCGCGTCAAGGGAGAATACCGTAGCACCTGCAAATTTGTGGGTGATTTCTTCCAGCGTCAGAGTGCGATAGTGAGGTCTCTTTATGGCCTTGTTAAGGTCTTTTGGGTCGAGGCAGACCCGTAGTTTGCCATTGGCCTTGCGACTAAAAGCCAGACTGTTCACCCAGTCTGTAGGCTCGGACACTTTGGCGATTACTCCAACCTGTTCCATGGTGTCCAGTTCATGCTTCAGTTCATCCTTAATGTGAATAGGACAACGTCGTGGGGCATGGACGACTGGAGGTACGGACTGATCCACGGTGATGTGGAATTTCCCTTTGAAATGTCCGATGCCTTTGAAACGGTCGGGAAACATCTGCCGGAGATCTTCCTTGGAGTTGACGACACACTGCTGAACTGCACAGTTGAGTGTGACGAGATTCAGTGCTCGTAATGTTGGAAGACCAAGGATGGCAGGACCGCTGGAGTCTGTGACGTAGAATTCCGACAGGCTGGAATTGCTGTGGAATTTGCATGGTATTTTGATCACACCATACTGAGGAATCTTGGAACCATTGTAGGCAGTTAGCCTAGTGGGACACAAGGTGGTGGATCCAGTTTTTGGAAACCCCTCGCTGTCCAACTTCTCAGGATACATGCGGCGGAATACTCGCAGCGGAAGTAGGTTCCCTTGTGCGCCTGTGTCGACCTTCACTCTAAGAGTGGCTGGTGTGCTGGGTTTCCTGCCCAGAGTCACGTCGACTGTAGCATATACCTCATCTCGACTGTCATTAGTGATAAGTTCTCGAAGTCCTCACCTAGGGCTGCAGTACTCATATCAGACACTTCATGGACTTCACGACGTTGTGGCGTCGAGAATCTCTGTGTGTGTCTGCCTCTGCCCCTGCCTCTACCCCTTGACATGGATCTTGACCTCTGTAGTCTGTGTTTAGTGTTGCGTGATCTGCACAGTCTGCCAGTGGTTGAATTTTTTTTACAAAATTCACACTTTGATCCGAAAGCGGGGCAAGCCTCTCTTGGCTTGGGAGGATGGTTTTTTCTTCAACTATCGCATTGTGTGGAGTTGCGAGTGGGTGACACATTGTGTACTGTTGACACACCGGAAGCTTCGTCAAATTGTTTCATGTGTGAGTCAGTGGCTTCACGGAACCTAGCAACATCTAGTGCTTGTTCTAGCTTTAGTTTGTCGTCTTTACCCAACAGGACTTCTTGTATCTTTTTGTGGTTGGTTCCCACGATCAGCTGTTCAATGAGTCGCTCCTCCATCTCGACTTCAGAGAATTTGCATTTCTTGGTGAGGGTTCTACACCGGAGGATAAATTCATCAACACCATCATACGAAAAGTCACTGTGTTGTCAAAATATGCCGTGTCATGCCGGGAAAACACATGAATCCGACTCACCAGTCACTCTTGGCGTCTCACGGCTGGTTTACCGCTGCCACCATGTAAAGCTGTGTAGGTGTGGCACGAGAAGGCGTAAGACATTATGTAAACGCATTAGGTTTATTACAACATGGCGGGTAAACTCCCCGCGCCGACTACACCCAGTACACAGATCGACGTGACCATACGCGTAAGAAAGTAGTGCAACATATGATATATGACAGCTATTAGATACACGGGCAGGCCGTGCAGCGACTGTGAGAAAGACGAATATAT